AAGCGATCTGCGCACAAGGGTTCTCCCACAGGGTTACCTTGGCCAGAAAATCGCCATGAGAGTTGGATTCAGGGGGACTACCGGGAGGCCGCTTCGGCCAGGGACTCAAGCAACTCATTCACCCCTCACACTCCTCGGCCTGAAGCAGTGGGGGACTGGGGGACTACACCGGCCTCAACAAAACGAAAGAAGATGCAAACAAGGTAACCACAGAGCATGGCCACATCGGCCACGCATCACACTGCACCTCGTCGACCGAAGGCACACAACGTCATCTGCAACGGCCAACGGGCCACCAAAGGCAAGGACACTCATCGTCCTCCGCCATCACTTAATCACGAGGGGCTCTTCGGCCAGAAACATGAAAGCTAATCAACGACGGCCAAAAGGAGTGCGCAAACACCATCATCGGCCATCCAAAGGGAAAGACGCCATCGTCCTCGAAGCAAGGACCAACTTCAGTGGCCTCATCGGCCCAAACACAAACTTCAACCATCAGCGCCCAAGCAAAACATGCCTTCAACGGCCACCATTGAAAGAAAGGACACTCATCGTCCCAAAACGAAGACATCAAGTAAACAACGACCTCCCTGTCCACAACGAGGAACAGGTAACGGCCAAGGGCAACAAAGCACAGGAATCTACTCTCCTTCACTTCGTCTACGTCTCAGCTTAGAGAGCGGGGGACTCCTGATGGAGTATATGGGTCTGAGCCCCCGGACCTACATACTCGGAAGAACAGAAAGCACAAGACAACAGAGTGGCGCCCTCGTCGGCCAAGACGCCCCCGTCGGCCGAAAAGGGGCCAACTCGGATTATGGTCCTGAGTCCAAGGAACCCGGGTGCCCTCGTCGGCCGTGCCCTCGTCGGCCACGCCCTCGTCGGCCACGAAGACCTCACAGAATCGGATTTTATACTTACTCATTTGTACAGCCCCTTAGTGGCTTTGTATTCGGCCCAGTAGCGGTCCAGTTGTAAATGGGCCTCCCAAGCCCAAGGCTTGGGAGCCCAACCCTAATTTTCTCTATAAATACTCCCCTTGGGAGTAGTTATAGGGGTTACCAAATCATTCTATTGAAGCATATTATTGCACTTCTCTCTAGATATACTCTATCAATTATTATTATTATTATTATTATTATTATTATTATCATTATTATTATCATTATTATCATCATTATTATCATCATTATTATCATCATCATTATCATCATCATCATCATCATCATCATCATCATCATCATTATCATTATCATTATCATTATCATTATCATTATCATTATCATTATCATTATCATTATCATTATCATTATCATTATCATTATCATTATCATTATCATTATCATTATCATTATCATTATCATTATTATTATTATTATTATTATTATTAACTCACAGCCCAAATTCTATTTTAATCACTCCTTCCCAAAACAGGTTCGTCATCTTCGTGGCATGGATACGCCGGAAAAAAACGAGGCTACGCGGGAATGGAAGATTACCTCGCTTGGCGGCGTAAAGAAGATCCGGCTACGTAAACCAACAACTGCCCCGGCAGTCCTTTCCGTCGTGAAATGCAGTCCGGCGGCTTGCAGCGGCATTCAGCAGAAGATTGGTCCGGTGGAAGCAACCCCAGACACTTCCAGTGAACTCCTTCACCCTCCGAACGCTCCCCTCTTCACTCTCACATCTCTCCTTCTTTCTCCTTTCTTTCTCTTTTTTTTTTTCTCGATCACTTTCTTTTCTCTCGTCTCTCGTTTTCTCCCTGCAACGCAGGTTGTAGCTTTGGTTTTTTTTCTTTTTGTTTGTGCAGCATGGATTGATCGTAAGGTTGGTATATATAGGAGTGGCGCCGAAGGTTTTAGTTATCCGATCAGTTTTGGCATACAAAAAATACGTAAGTCGTTGCAGTTCTTATCTCCCGCAAGTGTATAGCGCAAGTCTACAACGTAATTCTTATCCAACAGATTATTACTTGTATTTTTGTGTTATTAGTATTCTATGTATAATTAAGGTTGAAAAGTCCACTCCCCTCTATACTTGCTGCATACATATCACTCTAATTTGTGTGTGTCGTACTATATAGTATTATAGTACATGACTACATGTGTATATGTGTATTTTTGTAACTACTAATCTTAATGCTATCATTATTATTTATTTTTAGTGTATAACTATCACACGTATATAAAAATATTACTTTTATTGTTCAAGCCAAAATTCAATCTGGTCTACTTATATATAATTATAAAAATGTCACTTTTGTAACATTTTCAATTGATAACCTTTTATTTGATTAAAATTATTCATTTAATTTTATTTAAAATTTTCGAAGTGTCACATGCGGTGTCAGCAATCTGCCAGCCTGCCGGTGCAATCGAACTGCGTGGCGCTTCGCTTGTGCTATAAAGGGGGAGGAGCGTGCTACACTATCAGCGATTGCTTTTAGTGTAGTGGTAAGCGCAACGATCTACAAGTGGTATCAGAGCCAAGGTCACGGGTTCGACCCCCGACAACAGCATGCTGTGCAGTTGAGGCTGGCAGGTGCTGGGGGGATTGTTGGGTCACGGGTATGCGGTGCCAACAATATGCCAGCCTGCCGGTGCAATCGAACCGCGTGACGCTCCGCTTGTGCTATAAAGGGGGAGGAGCGTGCTACACTATCAACTATTGCTTTTAGTGTAGCGGTAAGCGCACCGATCCACAAAAACTTCAGAGGTGGGCTAAGACTGTCCTATTTAGATAAACGAGCTTTCCAAGAAGTCCATGACTAGTTTGATTATTAAACATGCCAACCCAGGCCTTAAACAAATAAGGCAAGAAGCCTCTAACAGGGCGCCTGGCCTATTCCCACCCCTAATGGTGATAACTCAAAACACATATCTCCCATGTTCGTTTACAATCAGCAACAACATGCATCGCTCAAGGTTCAAATGAATCAAATAAGCTTTGAAGAAAATGTAGCAAACTTGTTTACCAAGTCATTATCCAAGGCCAATTTTGAAAAATACGTAAAGAGTATAGGATGCGAAAACTTCCCGAACTGCCTTAATTAATGTACATATCATGAGAAGGTGTAGACATGATGGGGACATTTTCACCTACCCACCATTGTGTTATAACTTTTCCTTAAATCAATGTTTATTTTTCCTAGTGAGCTTTGTTACTTGGTAAGATTTTTAATAAGATAAATATATTTATTGATCGAGGTAAGGACCAAATGGAGAAATACTCAATGAACGAAGTCTAACACAACTTTCATATTGTTATATCCTTTCCCTACTATCAAGATTATTTTTCTTACATGATTTTTATTACTTGATGAAACTCTTACAAAATAATATGACGGATATCTACACTATAGTGTGCTATCATTATTGATAGAAAGTGTTTGGAAATTACATTTAGGTTAAAAGAAATGTTAAAAGGAAGTATTAAAAGAATTTATATTTAGTATGCTATCATTATACATAAAATATGAGTGAAGAAATGTATACACCAAGTAAATGAAGTTTTAAGCACGTAAAACATTACTATCCTTATTTAATGGTGGTAGCATTCTTTACTAGGGGTGGACAAAAATACCGAAATATCAGTATACCGCACTTATCGTACCGAAAATTACCGCAAAATATTGGTATACCTTCATTTTCGGTACGGTATGATACCGTACCGATATATTTCGGTACGATAATGATAAATGTTTTCAAATACCACGGTATACCGGTATAATACCGTACCGACTCCCACCCAACGATTACTATAAATTCTAAAATATTGTAAAAGTCCATTACAAGTTTGAAGCCCAAAATTAATAATTATGTTGGTTACAAATACTAAAATACAAAAATAAAGGCCCAACATTCCCAAACTCACTATAACCTTCTAGGCTTCTACTACGTAACATTCAAACAGACAAACCCTAATGACTAATGAGTAATGTAGTAATGTCCAGACCGGTCCATCTTGTTCCATAAGATTGCGAGTCGCGATGGCTGAGCCGTTGAGTAGCTAACGAGTGAAGAGGGATACACTTATGTGACGAGTGTATCGACATAGAGATTCCGCAAGTCGAGGTACGTTACTTTATCCGAAAGTCTTATTCAAATATTTTATTTAAAATTATAAAAAAGACTAAATACACAATATCATATTATGGATAAATGATTTTGTATCCATGTTGTTTGAATATTTTTATTTATTTTTGTTAGTGATCACTATTCATTTAATTATATCTATATTGTTCAAGTTATTTAAATATACTAATAATAATTATTATTCAATATTAAATATGACATCAATAGATTATTAATTGTACTTTGCAACATTTTAATAACGGATTAAATATGTCGTTAGTACACCGATTTATTATATTTTGTTAGTCTATGATAATTTTTTGAATTGGGGGACATGCATGGTAATTTACCGATACCGTATCGTTACCGAACCGAAACTTCGGTATACCGCATTTTCGGTATATCGAAACTTCGGTAAGGTAACGGTATATAAATTTTGTATACCGAAAGTTTCGGTACGGAAAAGGTACGAAAGTAAATATTCGGAATACACGCTTCCCATTACCTGATTACGAGGCCGTTTGGCAACCCTCATTTTCGGCTTATCAGGCTTATCAGTCAACTTTTTTACCAAACACGTAAATTTTGCTTTCGCGCGCTGAATTGTGTAATAAGCCGAAAAAGTAAGGTTGGAGTTACTTTTCTGGCTGTATTGGTTGAAGTTACCGTAGATGACCATTTTAGCTATTTTTACATATATTTTTTTCTTTATTTTATTAATAAAATATATTTTAAAAATATTTTTTTCTTGTATCAACAGAATCAGCCAATGCAGCCACTTCAGCCAGAATTTCATAAATTTTAGCAGAATAAACCAGAACAGCCGATTTTCATGCTTCCAAACGGGCTCTACATTTTGAGCATTTTTTGTGTGTGAATTTTCCCTAGCAAATACCCCAAAAACACAGAACTCTATGCGGGGGATCGCTTTGAATCAGTTGACTAATTGTGAAGCTGCCCAGTTCTGGGTGGGGTTTGGCTTGCTTGTATATGATTTGCAGCCCAAGATAGGACGGAGATCTGGTCAGCTCCTTTTGGCGGAGCCGCCGGCCAATTGCGCGCAGGAATCATTGACCAAGTCAAACCACCATCTTCTTCATAGAACTCGACCTCCGCTACTTCTTCTACTATGTCTTATCTACCTACCATCTTCTTATTTATCTCGTGTTTTCAGATATACTCTGGCTGCTTTAAGCTGTTCAATTTCACAAAATGAACCTAACGAATATACGCATCTTCATATTCGTATCATTAAACCTTTGTGTATTTAGCTTTGTCCTAGAAAAGTCTTTTGCTGTAGATCAGCAATATGAAGCATGCGAGCCAAAAAGATGCCCACATGGTCAAAACATAAGCTACCCCTTTTACCTTCAAGGCCAGCAGGAACCCTATTGTGGTGTCCCTGACTTCAATATCAGTTGTAATGGCCAGGGGTATCCAATTCTCCTCTTATCTGAAAATGATTATGTTGTTCAAAACATTTCGTACGAAAACAATACCTTTCGTGTTTATAATGCTGCTGCTAATCAAGGGTTAGTGGGAAGCTGTCTTCCCGATATTAGGAATTGGACAACTACTGGAAATGAAATTTTTGCAGAGTTGAGCCTGAGTAATTCTACACGAGCAATCAATTTATTCTCGAATTGCAGTAGACCATGGTTAGAGCCTCTTAAGGGGTACAAGCCGGTGGGTTGTGATGAAGGAGGGAAAGGAAACACATCGAGCTTGGTATTGTTTCATGATAACGAGAACTTGGGCTCTGCTTTGGAGCACTGCACAGAGAATGTGGTGGCACAAGTAGAGAGAGGGGAAGATGAGAGAAGCAATGATGTGGTCAAATATGATATGTTATTGAGAAGGGGATTTGAGCTGCAGTGGAGAGTAAGCAGTTGCAGTGAATGTAAAAGGAGTGGAGGGCGTTGTGGGTTTAATTCTACCACTCAGATGTTTAAGTGTTTCTGTCCCGATAGACCTCATTCCAGTGCTTGCAAACCTCAAATGGGTAAGCATTCCTTCCCCTTTTGCTCTCTGTTTGTATTTGCTTAGCATTCATCCTAGACAATATTTATGGCACGTTTTCAATAAGGCAGTTTCTATCTTTGGAATTTAGAAATACTTGAAATTTCAGTTCAAGTATGCAGATAGCTATGTGATGATTGAGACTTGTGAGAATTTGGCATCCTCATTCTACAAGGAATATGTGATGATTACACCTTGTGAGACGGTTCTATTCGAATACAGTAAAAATGGACAAGCCTAGTAATTATAGAGTTTTTGTATAACTCCAGGTCTCCGGGAAATGTCATTGTCTCCATGAGAGATAACAGGGATGTAACTGGCGAGCCTAGAAAGTGTTTATGCATATGAACGGATGAACCTCCATGACATGATAGTGTACGATGAACTAGATTGTACTGAATGCCAGTGGTTCCATTTAGGAATAAGTGGAGACAAGAGACAACATCTTCAATTATGGAATTCGTCTACACATGCATTTTTTAATTTAGTTAGATCTCATATTAGAGCTATAAGTGTGCCCAGAAAGAAACACTTATATAAATTAATTGATGTGCAAGACTCCAAGCATTAGGAATGAGTGGGATAATGATGTCAGCCCTTCTGACACCCATGTACCCAACTATGTGCATTCTGTAATTTAAGCACTGAAGCTAATTGATTTCTTAAGCACAAGACTATTAGCCAATGATGCTTTCTGTCACTACTTACCCGATATTCACACATGAATCTAAATTTGGAAAAAAGAATTTTATCAATCCAAGACCTGAAAGATAAATGAGTTATCAATTCAGCACCTGAAAGATGAAATGTGTCAATATAGGGGCCAAATGATTGAAAACTATCAGTTTAGGACCTAAGTTGTTATGAATTTCAATATTTTCTATTTTAAAAATTCAAAATATTATTTAATTTTATTAAACTAATAAACTTTTGTGAAGAAAAAATCATAAAAAATTAGCAATTAGCGATACATTTCATCTTTCAGGTCTCGGATTGATTATTCATCTATCTTTCAGGCCTTGGATTATAAAATTCCTTGAACCCGCATACCTGTTTTGGTGAAACATAGCTATCAGTCTATTATTCTATTACTATATCTTTGTATAGCATTTTGTAGTAAAAAGTCTCTTGAGTAACCAAATCTTTGAGGTTGCTTGTGAGGTTTAGCCGTTTAGAACATCACTGCATTGGACAATTTGTTTTGTTGATTTTTTAAAAAAGGGAAGAGGGAAGTAGGGACCAGCTCAGTCAAGCATAAGGATTTTAAACAAATTAGAATCCATCTTTTAAAGGGAAATTCCACTTTTAGATTACTTATTGTATGATGAGTTTCCTGGGTCACTTTTGAGTTTTGTCCATACTACACTAAGCCTTACTAGTGAGTATCAATCGCTTCACATTCTTAGGCAGCTGGAGACTGTAGATAACTCAGCATACATACATCTGCCACATGTTAAAACAGGCAGTTTAAGCATTTAATGGTGAAATGTGAAACTATTCACTTGATCCTTCCCTCTATATTATGTAAAAAATCCTTCTCAATTGAAGAAAAAAGTTTCTGAACGTCCAAACTAGTCCTAATAAAACCTTCCAACCTTTTCAATCTGAGGTAATGAACCCAATTTGTTGATGCTGTAAACTTCAAGCTAAGGTTTATTGTCCTCATTCTGTTTACTTTAGGTCATACTATGAGCTATTGTAGTGAAATTAGATGCTTTCAGTCAATTTACCCACAATTTCTCATATGATGGGTGTTTATCCTAAAGGATACTTTTTCTTTAGTGAGTTCTTTTGGAGTGGCACTCTCTAAAAGGATTACTGATAGCTTTCATTGCGGAGTAAAACAGCTGATTTGGTTTATCCAGATTCATGCTTGATATATGCATTATGCAGTAAAAGAATGGTTTTCATTATTTAGGATTTCTCTTAACTCAAGCGTGATAACAACGCATAGCAACAACCTCAAAATGTCGGTTTTGCTCATCATGTTCATAAATAAGGCCTTATTTGTTTGCTAACCATGTTTAGCCCATGAAATTCATCCTGAGTTCCTGCAGACCCAAGAAATATATGAAGCCTACAAGTCCATCACTTACCACTTCTATATAGCCTAGTTACAAAATATGTGTGGCTACCTAGGATTTAAGGATCTTTCTAAAGAGAGTGACCAGTTTACCAGATGAGTGTTATTCAATGTATGATGATAATATTCACAAATAATTAAATAAATACGAACACACACACACACATATATCAAGGGAAGAAGAACAAAGTACTATAATTCATAGCTGTAGGAATTTTTTAGTTTGTGTTTTTTATTTCTAGTTCTGTGAAATAGGAGGTTTCAGTGTGTCAATCAGTAACATGCAGAAGAACAGTTGTGGAACTTACTATATACAAAGTACATTTTTTTATTTTCCATCCTCTTGAAATTTGCTTGTTTGCATCAAATATTTGTTCTGTACAAGAGCAATTGTACTACTACTGTACGTGACTTGCTGGCCATTTAAGAAGCCACACAAAGCTGGTTATCCGTGTTCCAACTGTTTAGTTTCACTTAAATTTGGAAGGAACTGCCATGCCTTAAGAATATATAGTCCTAGTATTATGATACAGGAGGACAATTCTAAGGCATATCACACACTGACTGACTGGCACATTCATATGAGTTTCTTATTCCCAAATTTAGATGTGTAGATTGTCACTGCATACTTCTGAGTTCTGACCCAATACACACACACACACACACAAATGATCAGGTCCACACGTTCGGACCTGGGCCTCCGTCCGAACACCGCCGTTCGAGGCGGTTCCTGGTTGATTTTTTTTTTTATGAAATTTTTATGGTATGTTCTTCATCAAGTATAGTTTATCCACAAAAATTTTCAGCTCAAAATTCGATCGGGAAGGCCTACAAATGATTTTTTGAAGTTGACTGCGTTTTTCTATGTATAATTTGGCGCATTCAACTTCAAAAAATCATTTGAATGCCTTCCTGATCGAATTTTGAGCTGAAATTTGGTATGGATAAAATAGACTTGATGAAGAACATACCATAAAAATTTCATCAAAAAATTCAACCGTGAACCGCCCCGAACGGCGTTGTTCGGACGGTGTTCGGACGGGGAATGTTCGGACCTGAACATTCCTCTCTCTCTCTCTATATATATATAATTTGGCGCATTCAACTTCAAAAAATCATTTGAATGCCTTCCTGATCGAATTTTGAGCTGAAATTTGGTATGGATAAAATAGACTTGATGAAGAACACACCATAAAAATTTCATCAAAAAATTCAACCGTGAACCACCCCGAACGGCGTTGTTCGGACGGTGTTCGGACGGGGAATGTTCGGACCTGAACATTCCTCTCTCTCTCTATATATATTTATATATATATGTTTCGGATCAAATAAAAACCTTTCTTAATGTGAAAACTGAAAACCGTTCACTTTTATCCGAATGTGATGCACTTTAAGGGTGATCTGTTGCACTTTTTGAATTTCAGTTGAACCATGCTAAATAAGAAAAATCCGGAGGCATTTTTGTAAATAAGTCAAATATTTCTGTCAATGCGCAAAAGTGCAACACAGAAACGTAATAGTGCATCATGCTATGGAAAAAGTGGATGGTTTGCAGTTTTCACGATAAGAATGGTTTTTATATGATCCATACCCTATATATATGTATATGTATATATATATATGTATGTATATATATAGGTTTCGGATCAAATAAAAACCTTTCTTAACGTGAAAACTTCAGTCGAATGATGCTAAATAAAAAAAATGCGGAGGCATTTTTGTAAATAAGTCAAAGTTTCCAATCAATGTGAAAAAAGTGCAACACACTGTGGAAAAAGTGGACGGTTTGCAGTTTTCACGATAAGATTGGTTTTTAGGTGAGGGCGCTGTAGGAAGGGGCTTCCGGTGGGACCAATTTATTTGGGGGGAGTTCCCCTGGTCATTCCGATACCGGTGGAAACTCGGTTGGCTCTTCCGAAGCGAGCATAAATAAACCAGAGCCTGTGGCTCCTGAACTTGGTTAGCATTTTTGAGTTATGCTGGTCTGGTTGGTCGAATTCAGTCTATTTGCCCTGGTCAAAAGGAGTATTTGAGTGTATTCAATAAGAAGATGTTAGCTTACCTAGACATGGATGGAAATGTGAAGTAAAAAGGGTAGTCTTTCTTTTTCTGATGTTTCCAAGTTATAGGGGAGTTTTCTCCTATGGGAGGCCTAAAACTTGCAAGTTTTAGACCTCTTTCATTTGAGCTGCTTCCGGATCAAATATTTTTATGAAATTTTATGAGCACGTTCTCCATGAAGTGTAGATTATCTCTACCATATTTCCGATTAAAATTCAAACGAGAAGTCAGTTAAATAAATTATTTAAAAAAACTGCATTTTATATGTATACAAAACTGCACAATTTTCATTAATTTATTTATCTGACTACTCGATTAAATTTTAAACCGAAATTTGGTAGACATAGTCTACCCTTCATTGAGAACATACTCACAAAGTTTCATCAAAAGATTCGACCCGGAAGTACCTCAAATGAAAGAGGCCTAAAATTATAAGTTCAAGGCCGACCGTAGGAGAACATTCTGCTATGTGTGTGTGTGTGTATATATATATATATATATATATATTTAAAACCTGAATACATTTTCTCTGTCTAGTCTTACTCTGTTATATATGTTGGTGATATTTGTTCTATTAGCTCCTTGTGTTTTTAATTTTACTTGATCCTTCCCTGGTCCGCTTTGGTTGCAGGAAAAAGTAAAATGACTTTTACTATAAAAGCAGGCATATCTGTCACCTATAACGATTTTCATTTCTGCTTCATGTTTGATTGATGATGTTGAAGTTTTCGCATTGTTTATTCGCCGGTAAAGAAAATCTGCCAGCATTTATATGATTTTTAGCAAAGAGAACTTTTATATTGTGTGTGAATCCAGTTTATAATGTCATCATATAGTTCTCAACCAATTTGTATGTTTCATAACTGAGCATATTTTCTCTGTGTAGTCTCACTTTGTTTAAATATGTTCATGATATTTGTTTTGTTTAACTCGTTCCACACATCTTAGTTAACCTTCCCTGGTTCACTTTGGTTGCAGGAAAAAGTAAAACGGAGGTTATTATAATTGCAGGTATGTCTGTAACATGTAATTTTTCTTTCCATTCCACTTCATGTTTGATATATGTTGTTGAAGTTTTTGCATCGTCTATTTTTTGGTAAAGCATATCTGCTACCACTTGTATGATATGATTTTTAACAAATGAAACTTTTATGTTTTTGTGTGAATCCAGTTTTAGGAGCTGTTATATTGATCCTCACTTTGAGCTTGGTGGTGTTTGTTCTTCGGAGTCAGAAGAAGGGATGTTGTTGGGGTTCTTCACAATTCTTTCCAGATAACACAACCTCTGATGATCTCTCCTTGAAACAAGACCTTGAACATGATAGTAAATACTTTGGGATTCACGTCTTCTCTTACTCTGAGCTTGAAGAAGCTACAAACAGTTTTGATTCTTCCAAAGAACTTGGAGATGGAGGGTTTGGGACTGTTTATTATGGTAAGACATCTTCTCACCAAAATTCTTTCTTAAGGTTTTTTGTTAGAATTCCTCCCCGAAAGTTAAAAATAGAATGATGGGTGAACTAGCTCACATATTCATTTCAATTTTTAGTACGGTTTGGCCTGAGTGCCTTATCACTTGGATGATGCCAACTGAATTCTACAATTGTATTAGAGCAGATTCTGGCGGGTTTAATGCACCGAAATCCCTCGTGAAATATAAATTCGGCGCATTAGCCCCTTGTTATTTAAAAAATGTGTCAAACCCCCTTGTGTTATAATTATTCATGCGCAAAACCCTCTCCAAGAACAAATTTTACAGTTTTTGAAATCATTTTTCTAAATAATACATTAATACTCTCTCCGTCCTGAAAAGGTTGGCCAAATTTCCTTTTTTGGATGTCCCAAAAAGATTTGCCATTTCCATTTAAAGTAAGGAATATGTGGCTAAAATTAATTCTCTCTCCTCTGCACAAATTTCAACCACACAATTTTTACTTTATTAATCCACGTGAAAGTCAACTTTGTCCAACCTTTTCGGGACGGAGGGAGTATGATTGAATATGCAAGTAACTTTGTCAAAATTTCTAAATTTTACGAAAAACCTAATTACTTCTCATTTTTTTGCAATTAAATTTGTTCATAGAAGGAGTTCTGCGCATGAATAACCATAACGCAGGGGGGTTTGACGCATTTTTTAAATCATAGGGGCTAATGCGCCGATTTTATATTTCACGAGGGGTTTTGGTGCATTAAACCCAGATTCTGGCCCACCTTGTTTGTCCGGTTTAACGGTTTTCCATGCAAGGGAGTGTCAGAATCTCATATTGGAAAATTAAACAGAGAATGACAGGTTAATTAAACCTTTAATTGAACTGGCTTGCAGATTGAATTCAATCTTGTAGTTTGATTTAACCCAAATGCCTTGGGACCCAGTTGAGAAACCCCACCTCAATCTTGAATTCTATCAGTTTTCTTCTGCTACTAACTTAGTGAACTCTTATGTGTATGTACCACCAAACTAGGCAAACTTCGGGATGGAAGGGAAGTCGCAGTGAAGCGTTTCTATGAGCACAACAACAAGAGAATGGAGCAGTTTAGAAATGAGATTGAGATTTTGACCTGCCTTAGACACCCTAATCTTGTAACCCTTTATGGCTGCACATCAAGACTCAGCCGTGAACTCCTCGTTTATGAATACATCCCTAATGGAACAGTTGCTGATCACCTCCACGGAGAGAGAGTAAAAGATGGATCACTCACTTGGCCCATTCGCATGAGTATTGCGGTGGAAGCAGCTGGTGCACTGGCTTACCTCCACGCTTCTGGCATAATACACCGAGATGTGAAGACTTCAAACATTCTTCTCGATGAAAACTTTTGTGTCAAAGTTGCTGATTTTGGGCTCTCAAGACATTGTCCCAATGATGTTTCACATGTCTCCACTGCACCTCAAGGAACACCTGGGTATGTCGACCCTGAGTACCATGAGTTTTACCAACTTACTGATAAAAGCGATGTTTACAGTTTCGGAGTTGTTCTTATTGAGCTCATATCATCGATGCCTGCTGTGGATATAAGTCGGCATAGGCATGAGATTAACTTGTCAAACTTAGCCATGAACAGGATAATTCGGCATGCATTTAATGAGTTGATTGATCCATTTCTGAGGTTTGAGACAGATGCTGAAATTTTGAGGATGACTACTTCTGTGGCAGAGCTTGCTTTTCGATGTTTGCAACCTGAGAAGGATATGCGGCCTACCATGGGTGATATTCTGTTAACGTTGAAGGAAATCCAAGGTATTGAGTTGAAAAATAAGTTGGAACTAGAGACCAGTAATAATGATAATAATGATAATAATAATAATAATAATAATAATAATAATAATACATCAAGTATTACGAAAGTCCCTTCTTCACATGAACCAGAGGATGTTGTTTTGCTGCAGAGGTTAAAATGGCCAGTTTCCCCTATTTCCGTGACTGCTAATTGGATTAGTAGCTCTACTATAAATAGTAACAGCGAGTGATTCTTTTTCACCTGGCTTGTATGATCAAGCTGATGGCACGTATATGCCGACAAATCACTCGCTCACTCACTTTGTACTTTAAAAAGCGGGTCAGGTAATTTTGTGCCTCATTTGTAGTATGTATTGTTGCTTTACACAGGTTATGTAGAATTGAATTCAAGAATGATTGTATAGAGTTACAAAATACAAATGTCTATGTATAGGGAGGGCTAGTAAGAGGTCCTAACCCTAATAAATCCCACAAGGTAAGTCAATCATACAAGACTGGACTAAATACAAACAATACAATAATGGTTTAAAGGTTGTTTATTGGTTGTAGACATGAAATGTAGAGACAAAGCAGCCTGTTTTTATCGCCGCTATTCTAAATTCAGTATGCATGACTACAGAAACAACAATTTGTTCCTTTGAGGATCTTCTCTTTTGTGGTATTAAACAGATTAATTACATTTTAAATCCTTAAATTTTTAATAAGGGAGTTACCCTACCAAATACCAATAAGTTATAAGGGAATGTTTGGATCTATCGAGTACTTAAAAGGAATGGAAACAAATATTTGAGCATTTGGATAAAAGTGTAGAAGTATTTCTAACTATTTCTAATTGTTCCCTTGAGGTAATTTTTAAGTTGGAGGAGATTAGCATCTCAAAAATTGATGTTGCTTCTAAATGTTAAAACGGTACGTAGTACTGTAGTATTTATTATCTGTAAGCATAAACACATATAAATTAAAATATAAATATAAACATAATTTCCACAATTTATAGTATAACTTCAAGCCTTGATCCCGAGCACTATGTTTCTAATTGTGTCAGCATCGGTAGTCGGTACCGCCGGGCATAAATATAAGTTGCACTATTTCCAATAATAAAAGTAATAAAAACCCCTATCGGTATTTCTAGAATTAAAATCAATCTATGGTGCACTCGTTTAATTGGGGACAATATACTCCTATTGGTGTACACAGTTTTTTTTACATATTTTGCACCATCTCTGTCTTGGTGGACTTTGGCAAGTGCAAAGTATGTGAGAAATAAGAATAGTAAAAACTGTGTAGTTGAAATTTGTGCAGAGGAGAGAGAAATGCGCAAAACCACAAATTAGTTGCTTTAATAAGAAAGTGGTAAAGTTTTTTTAGGACAACCAAAAAGGAAAGTTGGGAAATTCCAATGGGATAGAGGGAGTACATTTTATTTGTATCTTTTGGGCCAAGAACTTAGCAAGTAAGTAAGTGAGAAGATTGGCCCATGTTCGTTACAGGTCCGGACCGGAAATTTAAAGCAATGAGACCAAGTCTCAAGTGGTTAACAAAAGAGGGATAAGGCCTAGCAACCAAGCCCCTTATTCGGTGGAAGTAGAGCCAGATTTGTTATAGCTTATGGGAGAGAAGAACCATACTATTGCTCCTCCAAAACAATTGTATTGAGCTCATTATTATAAAATCCTATTGTCATCTTAAATCCTCAAAGTATTCTTTAGCTAAAACAATAATCATATTCTTTTTCCTTTCCGTCTTGATTCTTGCACGTAGCCCATTTGCATCCATTCATTTAATTGATTATTTAAACTAGCATAAAAATCGCTAAAACAATTTGGCGTCGTCTGTGGGAAATCGTGCAAGAAATTTATTCTCCATGGAAGGAGCGTGCAACGAGATGATGGCCGAGTTTCATAAGCAATTGGAGGCGATGAAAGAAGAAATCCGACGTGAAGTGGCGGAACGGATGACTCACCTCCAGCAAGAAAACAACGTACTATAATCCCAGGTGCAATCGGCGATGTCCATAGCCTCTAATTCAAGAAAAAATCGAAGGAGCGAAGCTATGATCGCCGCTACAAGGTTGGACCTAGGCTTCACCCCGGCTACAACAGAACCACTCACCACCATGACGGAACCCATCTCTCTGATGTTAGGCTTGTCTTCTATCGGGGGCCGTCGATCCAGGGTCATCTCACAAGTGATACCCTACGTGCCCCATGTTCTGGAGACGACTTCAATCCCGAATATCTCGATGCGCTTCTTTCCGGAATCATTGCGAACTAGGCCGGTGACGGCAGGTCTGCATTCAGTCAACCAAAAGATGCCAACTTTAACTGCCGCATCAACCCCAACAGAACCTTTCATCCCTCACTCGGGGGCCGACACATCTGGAGAACCAGTGCCCTCAACTCGGTCCGTCTACCTCCCAAATCCTAGACGGAACGTGTTCCACAACCTGTTTGCAGAGCCTCAGAGACGATGGGTTCCGGACCATGTCGACGTCTCTAGACATGTCAACATCAACAACCAAAGGCAGCAAGAGCCTGAAGTCATCGTCATACCATCACCAACCAGGCTGGAGGTGACCCGAACAATGACGCCACCAATCCCGACAATGAGATAGATGCAGACATGCCCAATAGATCCCATGACCATCATCATGGAGGAGTTGAGAGAAATGCGAGAAAAGATTAACAGCATCCGTAGAGTACCCACAACATTGGACATTGCTTCGCAGTCGTGTTACGGGGACTCTCCCTTTGGAAACCATATCACCGACGTCGAGATCCCAAGGAAGTTCACCGCCCATTCAATGAAGTTGTTCGATGGAACTTCTGATCCCTTGGAACATATCGCCCAGTACAAGCAACTGATGCTAGTATGTGTTGGGCATTCGGGATGACATTGACAGGACCGACGTTGACGTGGTTCGTCAACTTGCCCAATGAGGGAATCAACTCGTTCGCAGAACTCGTCAACCTATTCAACCAGCAGTTCACAAGTAGTCGGCTCCTTATAAAATAGACCAGTGACCTATACCGAGTAATCCAATGACGGAGTGAATCTTTGAGAAATTATTTACACCGATTCAATAAGGAAAAGGTGTCGATCCTAAAATGTGACGTCTCTACCATCATTGAAGCATTCAGAAGAGCTTTGTATGAAGATTCAGAGCTGTGCCACGAGCTGACGAAATACCCTTGTCGATCCTTCGAAGATGTCCAAGCAAATACGTTGGCTTTCATCCGTCTAGAAGAGAACTTACGATCTTGTCGAAGACAAATTGAGTACAAAGGGGGGCACAGGAAATCAGAATCTCCCATGAGGAATGATTACAAGCATGGAAAATCATATTCGAGACCTGAGGAACGAGTCGTCACTTCTGTGACGAGATAGATCAGACGACATGATCGAAGTCGTCGGACGGGGGGCATGTCGTCCGATGATAGACAGGTTTTGAAGAGTTGCAATACAGTACCCTTAAAGTTGTTTCATTTTTAGTTTAATATTTTCTTTTACATAATGTTGTCACTCTTGTGACGAGATAAACCAGACGACATGACTGAAATCGTCAGACAGGGGGGCATGTCGTATGATAATTGAAAGATTCTGATGATAAGTATTTCTCTAGTTTTGTATACATACTTTTAATTTATTACTTTCATTTATCTATAAATGATCACTAGCTTAAGCTTTGGAGGGTCGTTGGCTTCTAGCCAATGGCCGACGTTAGCGAATTCTCTTTTGCGCGGGTACAATCAACAATTGATGATGACAGAATCCTAACATACATCAAACAAAGCCTTACAAAAACGTCAAAACACAATTGTTGGGGGGCTTGCAGAATCTTAGGGGAAGAAGTGGAATTTTCATGTACGCTAAACATGAGTACAAACACCACTGATTCTCCGCAATGTTTTGGCCAAAACTATAGAAGTACACAACAGAAGCATGTGCTCCAAGAGCATGACAACACAAGCTCCATAACATAAGGAGAGAATAAGAACGATATTTATTTAACTCATAAATATTCATGCCGACGATATTATTAAAACCATAAACGAAACAATATTCCAAGTTTTTACAAGATTTCGATTACGTTCATGCAACCCGACTCGTCATCTCTAGCAACGGACGAAGTTCCTTTGGCCAACTGAACTGTCGACATCAACCTGGACGAAGTTTCAACTCGTCAGCATTGCCTAGTTATGGTCATTAGCACAAATTTGGAGGAAGAAGATAGGAGATAAGCTGTCATTCTTCATCGCTCAAGTGAGACTAAGTTGTTGGGCCAATAACTTGGCAGATAATCAAGTGAGAAGATTGGCCCTTGTTCGTTAGAGGCCCGTACCGGAAATTTAAAGCAATGAGACTAAGTCTCATGTGGTTAACAAAAGAGGGATAAAGCCTAGCAACTAACCCCCTTATTCTGTGGCAGTGGAGCCAAATTTGTTGGGCAGTTAGAAGTGGAAGCTCAAATATAGGAAAATCCCACTATAAGTAATCTTTAGTTTCAGCTTATGGGAGAGACGAAAACAATTATTATATTGAGCTCATTATTATAAAATCCATTATATTTTGTATTCTTTATTCTTATATATTGCTATCATAAATCCTCAAAATATTCTTTAGCTAAAAAAATAATCATATTCTTTATCCTTTCCGTCTTGATTCTTGCATGTAGCCCATTTTCTTCCCTTCATTTAGTTGATTGTTTAAATTAGCATAAAAATCGCTAAAACAATATCACAATCAATTAATTTAGTTTCCGACAATTTGCAAATTTTAGATGAATGTCTGCGACGAAGATTATTTATCTATGACTATGATAAAATGTACGTGTGTACAAAAAGTTTATAAATGTCATTTTCTGTTTTTACAGTTCTCACTCCTATCTAGGGATGGACCTGGGCCTAGGGATGAACTGGGCCGATTTGGACTTACCTGGTACCCGGTCCGGACCGCTACTGTGCGGTACCGGCTTGGCCGACCGGGCTTTGGGGTCTGAGTCGGGGCTCAAATGGGGCAGGCTTCGGGACGTTATTTTAGTGTACCGGTCCGGGCCATTTTTTTTTAGTTTTTTGGCATTGGGCCTTTGCTAGGTGGGTAGTGATGGGTGTTTTGGCGGGGTTTGGGGTGGGGGTAGGAATAAATTAGAAAAGACTAATTTTTTTTTAAATTGACCGGGCCCGGGCCCGGTTCAAATCGGGCCGATCTTGGGCTTTCAACCCAAATCCCCAGTCCCGTCCAATCCCGGCCCGACCCGACCCCGGTCCATGCCTACTTGGGCTGGGCCTAGACTCAGGCGGTACCGGTTCTTGAAGAGTGGAGCCTGATATGCTCCACTGGGCCAGGCCTGCACCGTACAGCAGCTGCTCTGGTATCGGTTCCGGTCTGGGCCCAAACAGTACTAGGCCTGGGTCGATACCACCATTTTAATTATTTTTTTTTAAAATGCAATTGGGCCCAAAAAATCAAGCCTGTAGCCCCCCTATAACCACCGATCCGAGTACTGGGCTGGTACCGAGCCTCGAAAAATCAATTTGGGCCTAAACAGTACCGCTCCGGCCCAGTCTATCACTAATCCTGCCATCAAGGCATCAACTCCATGAT